CGCAGGGTAAATTTCAAAGGCGCATAAACTGTTCGATATCATTTACCAAATATCTAAGCGACATATTGCGAAACAAATATTTATCGCAAGAACAAAATTAGGCGGAAGAAAAAAAAAAAAAAATAAAAACCAATTGTTCAGAGAACAATTGAAGGTCTTTCCACCCATACAGATCAATTTTGAAATAGAACTGAAAATTCAGTTTGAAATATCATATCCAGCATCAAATGATAGCTTATTGTAAACTGATTCCAAAAATATATGGTTTCTATACATTTTTTTCTAAATAAAGGAGATAAATTGTTACTTCCGGTTTGAGATATGTCACTTCCGCTTTTATTTGATAGTTTACTTGATACTGATTCCAAAAATATATTGTTCAATATTACACTTTACATCAAATAAGTACAAAACAAAGCTATTTCCGTTTTACACAAGGTCACTTCCGGTTGGCTTTTCAAGGTCATGTAAATTGCAACCTAATAAAAAAAGTCCCATGGCTTTATCGTGTTTAAATATGAAGTTAAAGCAAAGGTCAAAATCTAGAACATCAAATTTAACTTTGACCTTGAGCTCAATTTCAAGGTCATACACCAAGGACCTTTAATCATATTGCCCTAGGTCTTTATTATAGTTGGTAAATGAGTTATACCACCATACATGTAATTTTAAATATAAAAAGGGAGAAAACTCTCTTTTACGGTCAACGTACCGTTTCAACCAAAATTCATGTGTTACGACATGTCGCAACTTACAATTTAGTAAAAATATTTTGTCGATATCTTGTAAGTTTTTTGGAAATAAGTAAAAATAAGCCAAAATCAAAATTTAGAATGTGACCTTGACCTTTGACCTTGACCTAATTTTATTTTTTTTGGACCAAGGACCTCAAATCAAAAGACCCTAGGTCTCTATCACTTATGGTTTACCAGTTAGAAATGCATATTACTTATATCACATGCATAAGGGGAAATAACTCTCATATGGAGTGTTCATATCGCTTCGGTCAAAATAGGACAAATCATGCGAAGGATATAACGAGCAATTTTATAAAATAAATTTGTTGCTTTCTGTTGCCGTTACGGTGTAGATGTAGTCACAAGGAAAACAGTGTTTGGGGAGATAACTCTTACAAAGAAAATTGTTCGGCTTAGAATGGGTGAAAATAAAAAGCTCATAAACTGTATGATACTATATAAGAAATATCTTAGCGACATATTGCGAAACAAAAATGTTACGCGAGAATAAAATTTGGCGGAAGAAAATAATAATAATAATCAGAACAAAACAATAGGTCTTTCCACAGAAAAGTGGAAAGCCCTAATAATCAGAAGAAAACCAATAGGTCTTTCCACAGAAAAGTGGAAAGACCTAATAATCAGAAGAAAACCAATAGGTCTTTCCACAGAAAAGTGGAAAGCCCTAATAATCAGAACAAATACAATAGGTCTTTCCACAGAAAAGTGGAAAGCCCTAATAATCAGAAGAAAACCAATAGGTCTTTCCACAGAAAAGTGGAAAGCCCTAATAATCAGAAGAAAACCAATAGGTCTTTCCACAGAAAAGTGGAAAGCCCTAATAGTCAGAACAAATACAATAGGTCTTTCCACAGAAAAGTGGAAAGCCCTAATAATCAGAAGAAAACCAATAGGTCTTTCCACAGAAAAGTGGAAAGCCCTAATAATCAGAAGAAAACCAATAGGTCTTTCCACAGAAAAGTGGAAAGCCCTAATAATCAGAAGAAAACCAATAGGTCTTTCCACAGAAAAGTGGAAAGCCCTAATAATCAGAAGAAAACCAATAGGTCTTTCCACAGAAAAGTGGAAAGCCCTAATAATCAGAAGAAAACCAATAGGTCTTTCCACAGAAAAGTGGAAAGCCCTAATAATCAGAAGAAAACCAATAGGTCTTTCCACAGAAAAGTGGAAAGCCCTAATAATCAGAAGAAAACCAATAGGTCTTTCCACAGAAAAGTGGAAAGACCTAATAATAATCAGAAGAAAACCAATAGGTCTTTCCACAGAAAAGTGGAAAGCCCTAATAATCAGAAGAAAACCAATAGGTCTTTCCACAGAAAAGTGGAAAGACCTAATAATAATCAGAAGAAAACCAATAGGTTTTTCCACAGAAAAGTGGAAAGCCCTAATAATCAGAAGAAAACCAATAGGTCTTTCCACAGAAAAGTGGAAAGACCTTATAATAATCAGAAGAAAACCAATAGGTCTTTCCACAGAAAAGTGGAAAGCCCTAATAATCAGAAGAAAACCAATAGGTCTTTCCACAGAAAAGTGGAAAGACCTAATAATAATCAGAAGAAAACCAATAGGTCTTTCCACAGAAAAGTGGAAAGCCCTAATAATCAGAAGAAAACCAATAGGTCTTTCCACAGAAAAGTGGAAAGACCTAATAATAATCAGAAGAAAACCAATAGGTCTTTCCACAGAAAAGTGGAAAGCCCTAATAATCAGAAGAAAACCAATAGGTCTTTCCACAGAAAAGTGGAAAGCCCTAATAATCAGAAGAAAACCAATAGGTCTTTCCACAGAAAAGTGGAAAGCCCTAATAATCAGAAGAAAACCAATAGGTCTTTCCACAGAAAAGTGGAAAGACCTAATAATAATCAGAAGAAAACCAATAGGTTTTTCCACAGAAAAGTGGAAAGCCCTAATAATCAGAAGAAAACCAATAGGTCTTTCCACAGAAAAGTGGAAAGACCTTATAATAATCAGAAGAAAACCAATAGGTCTTTCCACAGAAAAGTGGAAAGCCCTAATAATCAGAAGAAAACCAATAGGTCTTTCCACAGAAAAGTGGAAAGACCTAATAATAATCAGAAGAAAACCAATAGGTCTTTCCACAGAAAAGTGGAAAGCCCTAATAATCAGAAGAAAACCAATAGGTCTTTCCACAGAAAAGTGGAAAGACCTAATAATAATCAGAAGAAAACCAATAGGTCTTTCCACAGAAAAGTGGAAAGCCCTAATAATCAGAAGAAAACCAATAGGTCTTTCCACAGAAAAGTGGAAAGCCCTAATAATCAGAAGAAAACCAATAGGTCTTTCCACAGAAAAGTGGAAAGCCCTAATAATCAGAAGAAAACCAATAGGTCTTTCCACAGAAAAGTGGAAAGCCCTAATAATCAGAAGAAAACCAATAGGTCTTTCCACAGAAAAGTGGAAAGACCTAATAATAATCAGAAGAAAACCAATAGGTCTTTCCACAGAAAAGTGGAAAGCCCTAATAATCAGAAGAAAACCAATAGGTCTTTCCACAGAAAAGTGGAAAGCCCTAATAATCAGAAGAAAACCAATAGGTCTTTCCACAGAAAAGTGGAAAGCCCTAATAATCAGAAGAAAACCAATAGGTCTTTCCACAGAAAAGTGGAAAGCCCTAATAATCAGAAGAAAACCAATAGGTCTTTCCACAGAAAAGTGGAAAGACCTAATAATAATCAGAAGAAAACCAATAGGTCTTTCCACAGAAAAGTGGAAAGCCCTAATAATCAGAAGAAAACCAATAGGTCTTTCCACAGAAAAGTGGAAAGCCCTAATAATCAGAAGAAAACCAATAGGTCTTTCCACAGAAAAGTGGAAAGCCCTAATAATCAGAAGAAAACCAATAGGTCTTTCCACAGAAAAGTGGAAAGCCCTAATAATCAGAAGAAAACCAATAGGTCTTTCCACAGAAAAGTGGAAAGCCCTAATAATCAGAAGAAAACCAATAGGTCTTTCCACAGAAAAGTGGAAAGCCCTAATAATCAGAAGAAAACCAATAGGTCTTTCCACAGAAAAGTGGAAAGACCTAATAATAATCAGAAGAAAACCAATAGGTCTTTCCACAGAAAAGTGGAAAGCCCTAATAATCAGAAGAAAACCAATAGGTCTTTCCACAGAAAAGTGGAAAGACCTAATAATAATCAGAAGAAAACCAATAGGTCTTTCCACAGAAAAGTGGAAAGCCCTAATAATCAGAAGAAAACCAATAGGTCTTTCCACAGAAAAGTGGAAAGCCCTAATAATCAGAAGAAAACCAATAGGTCTTTCCACAGAAAAGTGGAAAGCCCTAATAATCAGAAGAAAACCAATAGGTCTTTCCACAGAAAAGTGGAAAGCCCTAATAATCAGAAGAAAACCAATAGGTCTTTCCACAGAAAAGTGGAAAGACCTAATAATAATCAGAAGAAAACCAATAGGTCTTTCCACAGAAAAGTGGAAAGCCCTAATAATCAGAAGAAAACCAATAGGTCTTTCCACAGAAAAGTGGAAAGCCCTAATAATCAGAAGAAAACCAATAGGTCTTTCCACAGAAAAGTGGAAAGCCCTAATAATCAGAAGAAAACCAATAGGTCTTTCCACAGAAAAGTGGAAAGCCCTAATAATCAGAAGAAAACCAATAGGTCTTTCCACAGAAAAGTGGAAAGACCTAATAATAATCAGAAGAAAACCAATAGGTCTTTCCACAGAAAAGTGGAAAGCCCTAATAATCAGAAGAAAACCAATAGGTCTTTCCACAGAAAAGTGGAAAGCCCTAATAATCAGAAGAAAACCAATAGGTCTTTCCACAGAAAAGTGGAAAGCCCTAATAATCAGAAGAAAACCAATAGGTCTTTCCACAGAAAAGTGGAAAGCCCTAATAATCAGAAGAAAACCAATAGGTCTTTCCACAGAAAAGTGGAAAGCCCTAATAATCAGAAGAAAACCAATAGGTCTTTCCACAGAAAAGTGGAAAGCCCTAATAATCAGAAGAAAACCAATAGGTCTTTCCACAGAAAAGTGGAAAGCCCTAATAATCAGAAGAAAACCAATAGGTCTTTCCACAGAAAAGTGGAAAGACCTAATAATCAGAAGAAAACCAATAGGTCTTTCCACAGAAAAGTGGAAAGCCCTAATAATCAGAAGAAAACCAATAGGTCTTTCCACAGAAAAGTGGAAAGCCCTAATAATCAGAAGAAAACCAATAGGTCTTTCCACAGAAAAGTGGAAAGACCTAATAAACACTTTTCATGTTAAGTTTTAGTTTTCTTGTTTCAGCTTGCTGTGTACAATTTTTCAATCCACTATATAAGAGTCAATCGAATAAATTGTTCCATCCACTAGAATTATTCCTACAATTCTCAGAGAAAACACTTTTTGCATTTTTTTCTTCAAAGATCTTCCTCCGTACATCTTTATTGGATGAAGCGATCTAAATGATGGACAACACAATTGTTCATTTGGACAACAAAATACTCATTATTTCTTTATTTGTTCCTTCTTTCAATTAATATTTATGTTGTTGCATTTACACGATTATGTTTTTGTGCATCTATGATAGGACTCCTTTTTGTTTATAGTCATTTTGTTGAAATTTCCTATTTCTTTTGTAGGAAACAAACACATTCCATTTCACATTACTAAAAAAAGCACAGAATGTAGAAATATCTCAACTTTAAGTTTTCTCTTCAGTATTGACCTGTTGATGATCATGAAAACCAAGATGTCTGACCTACAAATACACAAAACTCAAAATGGTTATAAATGGAGAGAAATACAGCAATAAAAAGGCTATTTTATCATGTTTATAAGCATTTTGAATATTAGTTGTAAGTAATCTTATGTAAGTGCTTTGTGTCTATTGTTTTTATATAAGTTGTGTTTGTGCCTTGTTGCAATCTTTTGAGTTGAGCCAATTGCAACAAATTTTTTACAGTTTGTTCAAATGTTGTGCTGTTATTAAAACCACTGTCCCAGGTTAGAGTGGGTTGAGTGCTCACAACATGTTTTTTATTAGTTGTTTTTGGCTTTAAATTAGCTGTCAGTATCTGTGAGTACTAAATGATCTGTACGTTGAGTCCTTTTTGGTATAGGGGAAGAATAAATTTCCAGCCACGTCCGGTCTGTGTTTTTGGTAACAGTTTTTCGGCTTTGTTGCTTTCTGATGAGTTAATAAAATTGAGTATGGAAACAAGAATGTATCAAAAAGACAACAACCTGACCAAAGAGCAGAAAACAGCTCTTTTCAATTGATTTTTGTAGTTTTTGTATTGAACTGACACTTGAACCACTTTCCTTGGTTAGGGGATGGTTTGGCACCAGCAAATATGTTAAACCATGCCACATTTTGTAAGTGTCTGTCCCAAGTCGGAGGCCTGTAATTCAGTGATTGTCATTTGTTGCTATATATCATATTTTTTTGGGTTTATTGTTTTGTGAAAAAATCAGGCACTTATCTTTCGCCTTTGAATCGTTTTACATTTGTTATTTCATTGCCTTTTTTATCTTACTATGCGGTATCTGTATTGCTCTTTGTCGAAGGCTGTACAGTGAACTATATTTGTTAACTTCTATGTCATTTGGTCTCTAGTGGAGAAAAGTCTCATTGGCAATCACATCACATCTTATTTTTATATCAACCCGGCCATTTTCTGCCTGTCCAAAATCAGGAGCCTGTTCATAGTTCAGGGGTCGATGTTGGTTCATATCTGTCATATATGTTTTTCATAAACTGTTTTGTTATAAATTAGCCCGAAATATTTGAAGTTTGAATTGTTTCAAATTTTGTATGTGATGCCTTGTATAGATGACTATAGCATGTATAGGGTATGGGTTTTCTCATTATCTAAAGGTCATCATTGGCCTCTACATTTTGTATCAACTCATTGCATTGCTTACATCCACTTAATTGAACTCTAGTGGATAGTTTTCTCATTTATCATACCACATCTCCCTATTTTCATAATAAGTATCATTCAAGGGCAATAACTTTTATAGAAGTGGACTTACCATTTAGGTTTTGTTGACTTCTGTAAATCTTTTGTTGATAATTTCCCTTTATTTTCTATTGTTCTTTCCCTACACATTAAAGGATAAAAATTATTATTTAATGACAATAACTACTATGAGAAGGCAACTGACAATTTTGGCTCATTTATATATCTTGTCTTGCTCATCATTTTTGCTGTTTAATACTATCGATGTTCTATGAAATGAGGTCACATTAATATTAACCTTGCCAGACAGACATCATCTTATTTTTATATGACACCTTGCAGTCATTCCATTACCAAAAAGTAGACCTATGCTTATAATATCTGATAAAATGATAAAACAAAAAAAAGCATGACCAAAGAACCATGAAATGCAGTCATGGTTATATGAATCTGCCATACAGACATGCACACCTTACAATCGTTATATACACCAAATATTATTTACCTATTGCCTAATGTATGTGATAAACTGACAAAACCATGAATACTTATCATTGACCAATGAACCATGAACATCAGGTCAAGGTCATATAAAACATGCCAAACAGATATGTGCACCTTAAAATCATTCCATTTACCAAATATAATGGCCTTATTGCTTACAGTATCCGAGAAATAGACCAAACCACAAAAACTAAACATTCATTTGTCCAATGTACTATGAAAATGAAGTAAAGGCAAGATGTAACCTGCCAGTCAGACATGTACACCTTACAATCATTCTATACACCACATACAGTGACCTTATTTCTTATAGTGTCTGAGAAAAAGACCAACCACAAAAAGTAAACCTTATCCAATAAACCATGACAATGAGGTCTAGGTAAGATGAAACCTGCCAGTCAGACATGCAATGTTCTTAATATTATCAGAATCATATGTGTTAATTTAGAGCAAAACATATAATTTTGTCAGAAAAAAATATGATTCGTACAAATTTAAATAGCTTAGAAAATATCCCTTTACCAGAATGATGAGAACATTTAAACATTTGTAATACTTTATACTTCATTATCTATTTCTGAAACGACTTCTCTTCCTGAATATGCATGAAATGTTTGCCACTGGACGTTACACAACCAACAATCAATCAATCTAATTTTGTTCTAAACAATATACAATTTTATCCATCACTTGGCGTCTGTTGTCTGTTGGTACAGTAAACAATACTAAACATACGGAATTTGTTTTTGTCCAGAAATATATTCCTTAGACAAGTTCAAGTATGTAAATATTGGGATATCTTGAGGTAGTTGAAATTATTCAGTGCAATCATTTTGTGTCCATCATCGTCTTTCATACATATCAAATGTTGAATCCACTGATTGCTGTTTGTCATCTGTTGTTTATGGCAGTTAGGCCAAGGTCTCCAAATTTTAGCCCCCACTCAGATAATGACCAATCATAAAAAGTGAGTGCTTTTTTTCTCTCGTGACATACATTTTTCTTTACTTACAAAAACACTTAACAATTTTCTATGCTTTATCATTAAATTAACTGACATTTCAAACTATAGATGTTGAATTAAAAAAAAATATTTCAAAACAATAATAAAACCCTTAGTGTTTTTATGCTAAACATATCTAACGTCTGGTTATTTTCTTATGCAAGTAATTATTTTTTCATTTTTTTAAGATAACAGTGTAATCAGTTATAATTTGACACACGTCTTACTGTTCACTGATTTTCAGCAAAATCCTAGAAAAACCTGCATGTGCCTAAACAATGTTCAATTATTCATTTATTTGTGATTTTTTTTCGATAAAAAATTGGAATTTATGCATTAAATATCAATCTCTACCATAATATGAAATTTGTTTACATATATTAGCACCCCTTCTAGTACCTAGTGCAACAAGTAGTCCTTTGCAGTATTTAGACGCACCCCAAATGAACAGTAAATATATTTCAAGTAAGAGGTAAGAGTTGAACATGAATAACCTTGCATAAGATAAGATGAACAGATGTACAATAATAAAAATAATTTTCGGAAAAAAAGCATGCGTAGCCACTATACGTCTCTGCAAGGATTTGCCTTCCTATATACAAATCCTTGGTCTCTGGTAGGAAGTTGAAAATGAATAGCCAATCCACAAAAAATCCTTCGACACTCCCACCCCATCCCATCCCCTTTCACTGCCTCTAAATATCAAATGAAATGGTCGTCATCGTAGACTTAGTATGACCATATTTGCTAAAAGATGTACCTTAAATTAATTCTGACTTATTTGTTTGGGGGAGAGGGGTTTAACCGAACCCATATTCAATTTAAATCAGTGAACTGAATCATTGTCTTTTGCAGTAGTCCGGGGTAACGAGTCGACATATGTATTCATGCAAATTGATAGTCAACAGTATACCTTTTTTCAGAGTGACATTTTCTCAGTAACGGAGAACCCCTTTCTTTGAGTAAATATAAATAGTGTCGGTGGTCTCACAAATAAATATAAATCTGAATTACAGGTACATCAATAAGCAGAGTTGGGTCAATTATCAAACTTGCATATTAATCTCTCAGTTATTTATGGTTTAGGCAGACCTGTGCTCCTGAATTAGGGTATACATTTGTGTATTTCAGTGCTACAAGTTATTTGATTTGCTAATCACGCACCAGTTGCTGAGCAGAGTACCATACTTACAAGCCAGGGACAGTCTATACTAACAGTTAGTATAGAAAGTCCCTGTTACAAGCCAGGCAAATATATGACTGTGAACCTAACAGTACTGGAACATAATATTAAATGTATATCTAGTCCCAGCACAGTTAGCACACCGGTATGTGTCAGTCTTATAATATAACGTACAGTCCCAGCACAGTTAGCACACCGGTATGTGTCAGTCTTATAATATAACGTACAGTCCCAGCACAGTTAGCACACCGGTATGTGTCAGTCTTATAATATAACGTACAGTCCCAGCACAGTTAGCACACCGGTATGTGTCAGTCTTATAATATAACGTACAGTCCCAGCACAGTTAGCGGTATGTGTCAGTCTTATAATATAACGTACAGTCCCAGCACAGTTAGCGGTATGTGTCAGTCTTATAATATAACGTACAGTCCCAGCACAGTTAGCACACCAGTATGTGTCAGTCTTATAATATAACGTACAGTCCCAGCACAGTTAGCGGTATGTGTCAGTCTTATAATATAACGTACAGTCCCAGCACAGTTAGCGGTATGTGTCAGTCTTATAATATAACGTACAGTCCCAGCACAGTTAGCGGTATGTGTCAGTCTTATAATATAACGTACAGTCCCAGCACAGTTAGCGGTATGTGTCAGTCTTATAATATAACGTACAGTCCCAGCACAGTTAGCGGTATGTGTCAGTCTTATAATATAACGTACAGTCCCAGCACAGTTAGCGGTATGTGTCAGTCTTATAATATAACGTACAGTCCCAGCACAGTTAGCGGTATGTGTCAGTCTTATAATATAACGTACAGTCCCAGCACAGTTAGCGGTATGTGTCAGTCTTATAATATAACGTACAGTCCCAGCACAGTTAGCGGTATGTGTCAGTCTTATAATATAACGTACAGTCCCAGCACAGTTAGCACACCGGTATGTGTCAGTCTTATAATATAACGTACAGTCCCAGCACAGTTAGCGGTATGTGTCAGTCTTATAATATAACGTACAGTCCCAGCACAGTTAGCGGTATGTGTCAGTCTTATAATATAACGTACAGTCCCAGCACAGTTAGCGGTATGTGTCAGTCTTATAATATAACGTACAGTCCCAGCACAGTTAGCGGTATGTGTCAGTCTTATAATATAACGTACAGTCCCAGCACAGTTAGCGGTATGTGTCAGTCTTATAATATAACGTACAGTCCCAGCACAGTTAGCGGTATGTGTCAGTCTTATAATATAACGTACAGTCCCAGCACAGTTAGCGGTATGTGTCAGTCTTATAATATAACGTACAGTCCCAGCACAGTTAGCGGTATGTGTCAGTCTTATAATATAACGTACAGTCCCAGCACAGTTAGCGGTATGTGTCAGTCCTATAATATAACGTACAGTCCCAGCACAGTTAGCGGTAGGTGTCAGTCTTATAATATAACGTACATTGTAGGTTCATATCGATTGAATTCAACGTTTTTTTTTTCGGATTTTTTTTTACTATCAATGGTGAACCACGACCGTTCAGCATTGATAATAAAACAAAATCCCATAAAACACGTTGAATGCAAACAATATGAATCTACGCAGTCTCATAAATATATCATAGGACTATAGTGTTAAGTTGATAAAAAAGAGGGTCGTAAAAGGGGTTTTGTGTGCAAGGACGAAAGGGAAATAAAATGGCCACTTCACAATAAACGGAAAACAATATTTTAAAACAGCTTTCACGTTATTTTTCACCATCTTGCCCGAAACACGGCGAATAATGAGCTTCAAGCACAAAAACATGTGAAATAAAAATGCCAAACACGTTATACGAAAATAACCCTTTACCTTACTCAATAAAGTTTAATGTTAAGTCAAATGAAAAAAATTAGCGAAGCAAGATAGATTTAAATTTGTTTAGATTGTCGGTGTAACTCGAATAATGCAAACCCTTACCGTCTCCAATTCTGTAGTGAGCGATAGTGAGCGTAAAAAAGACTGTATTATTCGGGTTAGCACACTTCGCCAATGTAACAAGCTCTATCTATACCAAAGACAAAAGCTATAGGACCGTTGTCAACATGGTCAAATCCGACCTACCACTTTGCAACCTGACCTGTAAAAATATAATTTGACTAAAAAACAATGCCAGTCAAAATTGCTTTATGAGACTGGGCGACCTGAGGAAGTTTAAAAATGTAACCTTGTGACCCTACATGAGCCACTCCATTCATCTGTGTGTGTGTGTGTGTGTGTGTGTGTGTGTGTGTGTGTGTGTGTGTGTGTGGCTAAAAAGGGGGCATTGGTTTTTTTCTTGCGACAAAGAACTTGTTTTCATCTTTATTAAAAAAAAAATATATATTTTTTCAAGACCAATCAAAAACTTTTTTTTCAAAACTCAGTGTCGTATTTTATTGTTTTCCCACTAATTTTCAATAAAAGCTAAATGTTTGTTTCACTTCTCTCTGACTTCCCACCTGATTTTTTTTTCTCAAGAAATTATAGAATCAGTAAATGTATAGATTATGAATGTCTGGTGAGAACCATTTCATGAGACCAAGGATTTGTTTAGAAATCCTTGATGAGACCCTTTATAAAAGTTTCATACCATTATGACTTATTATACATTAATTTTTACATTGGTCACAGCACAGACATAAATACACATGGGTATACCGTATATGTCTCTGGTCACAGCCATGCATTAAGATAAGAAATTTCAGTATGCATCATCAAACAATCCATGTGTATTTATCTGTAACATTAACATAACTGAAACATTATATTATTTCCCAGTAATAATGTAAATCATTTTGATTTACAATTATATAGATCTTGGACTAATGCATTTATCTATTAGTCCCAGAATAGATAAATATAATTGTATCTTAATCTTTGGAATAATCCGATTTTAAATTGTTAAATTCTTTTACTTCATAATTATGTCAAAGTACATTCTTTGAAGTTTTAAACTATAAAATTAAAATGAATATTCGATTTTGATCTGAGGAAAAACTTTTTAAACTGTAATGACATGATCAGTCAACTGATTTGTTGCATGGTTGATTTCAGGTAAAGCATGCAGTAATTTTCCATTTCCAGTACGTGTACCCTGGGGTGTGCATAACTTATTAGAAAACCTTAGTTTTCTAGAGGATATCCTGTTTATGTGTAATACAGATTGCAACTGGTGACATTACACAAAGTTTCTTCTGTTAAATGTAGTTAAGTATCTGTGTCCATTACCTTTTGCAACACTACAAATTTTCTCGAAGAAAAAAATATTAAATTTTTTTTTTAAAATTATATATAAAAAAAAAGAAAAAAAAGTAGCATTTCTGTAACTACGCATTAAGTAAACTTAATTTTACTATACAAATCCTTGAGTAAATGTATATTTGTGTTTAAAAAGGCTTATTCCCAGTGGATTTATTTCACACTAGTACCTGAGATAACTATAACTAAGTCCATTGAAAAAGTCTTTCAGTCTGATACATGTATACCTATAATGTACAAAATTATGAACCGCTTCAAATATATGCCGATAAATTAAAGATGTACCATTTGTATCACGTATTGCTGAACATGTTATCAATTGTAAACGCAAAAAGCAGAGCTCTGCGCAGAAAGAAGATTCAAAACCGCAATTTGTTTTAAGATATCTTTTTTCCAATCCAAAAACCGAAAGTGGATACTGATTAAATGAAAAATCCAGTGAGAAAAAAAAAAATCATTCTTTTCTACCGAATTAAGTATGTGAGTGTGTTCATTTTGTCCCCCCTTTTTTTCCCTCTTTAAAATTATATTGTGACGTTTTCTTTTACGAAAGACCAATTAATCGATTTTATTTCCAAATTCGTGTTTGCTAGGATTGACACTTAGAACGTACAACAAAAAGTCACGATTCAGTTTTGGGATATTTTTTTCTATTAATAGCAAAAGACTTATTTTTAAAAATGTTTCAGTATTTTTCTTAAACATTTTTAAAAGGAAACGGACTTGTAAAAACAAAATTTATTCTTGAATATTAATATTGAACAATGATTGTTAAGAAAACAATCTGCCAAAGTGGTTTGGTAATTAACTGGCTTCATGCTGTCAAAAATGTCTCCTTGTTTATAAGTTATTGATAAAAACAATTTGAAGGCGAATTAATCATTCCCTAAACTAAAATACATTTATCTAATAAAGTTAATACGTCAAGAACTTTCTCTCATATATTTAAACAATTGTAAAATAGACTTTCTGTTCGTTTACCAATACTTATTCCTTGTGAAGTTTTTTCATATCCATTACTCATTATATATTCGAATACTTATATTGTGATAATTACTAGTCACAATTTTCCGGATGCTTTTCTCCAATTTTCATATAAAACAATCATGTTACCCGTAGAACGGAGTTGAATACAACTCTAGGAATTTAGTACTTAAAATTTTCAATAACAAAATTTTACACTTTCATTTAGCTTGATCTTTTTTTTCTCCGCTTCGAAACCGCCACACCGTATCAAACATAGCCAACACCTCGCATGGCGTATTAGACCTGTTTAGAACGTGTATCGTTGAATTGTCTATAAGAATTACACACATAATATGGGCTGATATGCATAAAACCACTTTAAGTTCTTCTTCTTTATGTACAAAAAACCCTAAACATTTTGTAGCTAGATTACTTTCATTTCTTTCCGGCGCATGCCTGAGTGAGTTTACATTAAAGTTAATTACATTTTCCTTTTAATTATAAACTTTACAATTCTTTATTTTACTTTTAATTTTTAATGTTTCTATATATATATATATATATATATATATATATATATATATATATATATATATTTCATATTAAAAAAGTTAAGTAATCCAATAGTAGTACTAATTTATGGTAGGACATGTAGAAAAATCCGTCCGTTCGGAACAAATCTTAAGTAGTTTTATGCATATCAGCCCTGACTTTTAATCGTAAGGTAGGAGTATCGGTCGTTTGGTATTAATGAAACTGGGTTTGCATGAAAAAAAAAAAAAAAAAACTTATCACATAATATCAGAACCTATGTTTACTGTTAGATGATAAGAAAATATAGCTGTAGGCCTGGTTGCAAATCTTTACACATTAGTTATTTTTTATTTTATATTAGACTGTCTGGGTGCTTCCTATGTGTTTTAAATGTTAGCGTTTTTATGCTATAGTTGTGTTTTATAGACTGTTGTACGTCATTTGGTCGTTTTTAAGTTTTTGCCATGGCATTGTCAGTATGTTTTCGACTTATAAGTTTGATATAATCTGCATCTCTTGTGCTGTATTTTAAAATTTATCTGCACGAATGCTGCATCTTTACACATTCATCAATACACCAAATATAAATAAAGCTTTCTTATAAAAATAAGGAGATGTGGCATGATTGGTAATGAAACAACTATCCGCCAGAATTCAAAACCTGATATAAGCAAAAGTGACTTCCTTACTTACTTTAGTCAGAGAGATCTTGAATCTGAATTCAATCGGATACGAGGTGGGAAGGGGGTAGAGAGGGATTAGGGGAGGGGCAGGGGGCCCGCCCCGCTTTTTTGGGAAAATTTGGTTGATTATTTAGAGAATCACTGGAGCGGGCCCCCTCTTTATGACAGTCAGTGCCCCTTATGATTTTTTTTGGATCCGCCACTGGTGAGGACTTCATAAAAAAATAAGTAAGTTTTTTTTGTGATAACTAATGTATTAACAGTCACAGAGACAAAAATACCATAAAATAAGAGGGTGTGGATGGGGGTTTTCAGAATAGAGAATAACGGGCAAAAAAAAAAGAATAGAGAATAATGAAATGCTAAAATATAAAGGAAAGAGAATAATGATCAAAAGGTGTAAGTAAAGTTTGTAGAAATATAGCTTAAAAATTTAAAGAATACAGAATAAGAAGAACCCCCACCCCAGATCTTTACTTCAACTGGCATTTAACGCTACCGGGATATGAACAAATTCTGAGACAAGGTATGTATTAGTATTCAGCCGAAAACCACTCAGCTAAGCCTTTTGCATCCAAATGTTTTTAATCGGGATACTGACTGCATAGTAAATTATAAATATACTAGTAATTTCAGGGGCGGATCCAGCCATTTATTAAAGGGGGGGGAGGTCCGAACCCAGGATAAAGGGGGGGGGGGGGGGGGTTGGGTTCCAACTACATGTCCCCATTGAAATGCATTGATCGTAAAAAAAGGGGGTTCCAATCCCCGGAACCCCCCCACCCCCCCCCCCCCCCCCCCGGCCCCTGGATCCGCCACTAAATTTCTCGAGAGTAATTTTAAAGTGTATTAAATGTTCTCAAGGGCTGTCGGTAACCTCCTCGACACGGTTCATTTTACGGGCTCATTTTTGTCTTAAAAATAAACATAATAATAAGTTCCCTTCCCCTGCATTCCTCGATCGCACTTGTAAGCAGAACATTGGTACCAGGTCCGTGTAATACTTGTCAATTCAAATTTTTAAAAAGTTTTCAAATTTTAGATTCTTGGAATTTTGATCAAAGTTTTAAAATATCAAAATTCCAAATTTCTGAAAATTTTTGAAATTTTAAAATTTTTCACCAAATAATTAAAATTTTTAAATTCTAAATATCGTTTTTACATTTGATAGTTTAGATATTTGATCAAACTTTGAAAATACTAAACTTAACGTGCAGTTTTGATTATTTCGCTTTTTGAAAGTTTGATTTTTAAATTTATAAAATTACATCTTTGAAGTCGTTTTATTGATAAAAATCTATATTACATAAAGACAAATATGCAACTTACAAAAGGGTTTATATTCGACAACGAGAATTTACGACAGCTTGAAGGGGTCATTAAAAGATTTTTACGTATTTTATCAGTCCTCATAACTATGAAAATCATGCTTTTAATGTTATCAAGTATTTAATTTTTTTATGATTTTTAACTAAATTTGAATATCGAATATCGAATAACAAACCGGCTGCTAACTTCACATACATAAAATATTAAATAAGAAGGTACAGAAAATAAATGCACACACACTATTATAAACCACAGACATGATATTTTTCTCATTTTGCCTAAATCGTTATTCCGCAATACAACGAGGGTGTCAAAACCCACC